CGCTGATCCCGCACGCCCTGTGAGAGAGACGTCACTGAACATCCCGCTCCTTCCGCTCCCTGCCGCGGGGCTCACAGCTCAGCAAGCACCCCCAGGGGCACGCTGCGCTCAGCAGCTGCACAGCACCTGTGCAGGGGGAGCCTGCACTGCCCAGCAGCCCAGAACAAGCTGTGAAGTTGGAGCAGGATGCACATCTGAGAGGGCATCACTGCAAGATGCCCCAGGCCAGAGCTGCAGGTCCTGCTGGAGACCTGCTGCCTTACCTGAGCAGCTCCAGCAGGGCCAACACCAGACAGTCCAGGAAATAATACGCAGTTAGCACGGAGAAGGGAGTTTTCAGCAGAGGAAACTACTGTGGGCATCTTGGGCAAGCCAGCGTTAGTCAAGCAGTAGGGAAGCAATCCAGAGGTGAGGAGCAAGACGGAGGAACACGGCTTTCCACAGGATAAAGGCCAGAAGCAGCAGCTTGGCTACCAACAGTGAGCAAAGCACTTGCCTTTCCAGCATTACTCTGTTAGTGGTATAAAGTACTTCAAAAGAGAAGTCTTGCACCACGGTTTTGCTCCTCAGGCCTGAACACAGGCTCACACGCAGGTTCCCACCAGCAGATGCCCACACCCTTCCTGAACCTCACTCCCTGAATCCCAGGTGAGATTTTCTGCCTCACTGGTGCTCTCTCACACGTGGCAGCAGTCTCTGGGGTTCCTGCAAAAGCCTCTGGGGCCCGACTTCCTCTGTGGGTCAATGCTGCCAAACACAAGCACAGCCACCCTGTCACTGCTCGGGGTCCCGTGGGTGCAGCTCCTCCCACCATGGGGCTCCTCTGCATGGACCTACACAGCTCAGCCAGGCTAGGAACTGTATGCCCATAAGGTGAACAAATCTAGAGCAACTGGCGCCTCAGACAGGCCCTCCTGCTCTGGCCACCTTCCTTCAGGAGGGATGGGCTGAACCCAGGGTGCAGCCACAAGCGCAGGGAGCCAAGGCCCCCGGAGGCTGGGAAGAGCCAGTGCACAGCACAGAAGGACGTGCCTGCCCACAGCACGGCTGCGGGGCCCTGGGATGGAGAACGGGGGTGAAGCTGCGGGGATGTTCAGCAGCGGGGCTGGCAGGGGCTGCAATGGGGACCACACAGAGGGGGGCTCTGCACAACCGTGCCCGGTGGGGACGGGGGTCCTGCTAGCCCACGCTCCTGCGTGGTGACACAGGTGAGAGCTGAGGACAGACAGGACCACGGATGCCCTGGGGACCCTGCTGCGGTCACTGAGGGCTGTAGCAGTTCAGCAAGGGGAAGCAGGGGGGGAAAAGGCGTCAGTGTGCGGCACGCAGGGCACCCCCCTCACCCACCTTGTCCCGGCCATATCGCCGGAGCAGCCGGTAGGGCCAGACATAGAGGATCTCATTTGTGCGCGGGTCCTTCAGGATGAGGCTGTCACGCTCAGCCTTGAGCACGTAGGCGCCGCGCAGCTCGCAGCGCTCGGCAGCCTCGGTCCGCTGCACCGTCACCCAGAAGGCATTCACTGTGGGAACAGGGATGCTCGGGGCAGGGCGGAGGAAGCCGCACCCCCAGCTCCAGGCGGGGCCCCCCCTGCCCACCGGAGCCCCGGAGATGGGGCAGCAGCAGGACAGGCCCCACGGAAGGTGGCTGGAAGTCAGGGCAGCAGCAGGTCCCACCTTCGTCTCTTGAGTAGTAGATGGAGTTCACGGCCATCTCCAGGGCTGGCGCCTCCCTGCTGCCCTCTCTGCCACACCGGGCCGCCACACCAGCATCGCTGGAGCCATTTCCCTGACAAGGGAGAGCAGATCAGCCCCAGCCCCCTCTTCCCGCATCAGCCCCTGGGCCTCCTTGCAGCCCAGGCCCGTCTGCCCTCCCCGAGGGGCCCTCCTCAGCCCCACGCAGCTTGGCTGTCCTGAAGCCACACCAAGCCCTTCCCTGCCCAGAGCCAGCGACAGACCGCAGAGCCCCCAACCCCATGCTGACATACACACAGATGAGCAGGGCCAGGCAGTGCAGGAGGGGCTCCTCTGGAGCTCCTGGCACGACCCTGGGCCCCAGCTGGGCTGTGCATTGGACAGGGTGCAGAGGAAAGCAGTTACCTGGGGCAGCCCTACCCTCCAGACCCTGCCCCACCATGTAGTGCAGGCCAGCACTGAGACACAGCCTCCCATGGGACAGCACCCGGGGGTCCCACATGCCCACACCACTGCTGCTCGTCTGAGCACTTTGGAGTGCCCATGCAGGTGCCCTGGTGCCAAGGCAGAGAACAGCTCTGCTTCCTCACCAGTGTGCTCCAGCGCAGGCAGCACCGGTGCCCAAAGCATCGCGTGGGCCCAGGCACGCTCTCCCAGCAGGACGAGCAAGGGACGGAGCTGATGAGATGACCCAGTAACGCAAGGGTCTGCGTCCTGCTTCTGCACAGGAGGAAGGCGGTGCCAGCATCGGTGCACAGCCCGCAGAAGGGAAGCAAGCACTTCTATTTTAGCGCATGCAGAACTGAAAGTGCAACGCACACACTGTCAGTAACCATGTCCCAGCAGCAGCGTGCCCTTAGCTACCACCGAATAGAACAGCAAAGATCCTCCTCCAGGGAAGCCCCATGCAAATCAAAGGCTCACAGGTGGCCTGCAAGAGCTGCTTCAGCAGACTCTGTGCCATAGCATGAGGGTCTGTATGCGGACGGGAGCTGGAAGCTGTTTCTCAGGGTCACGTGGGATGGGGCTGCAGCAGAGCACACATCTTGCAGAAGGCAAGCTGTCAGAGTTTCAGTTTAAAACCCAGCCACATCAGCTTCTTAACAAGAGGCAAGACCCAAAAAGGTTCATCAGGCCCTCATTTGGCTCCTGAACAGAATGGGGGCTGCTACCACCTAGTGTCCTTAACGCTGACAGCAGGAGCTCCTGCTCAGCTAAAGCATCTGATGAAGCAGGGTTCCAGCCTGGCATTGGGAAGTCAAGGGCCAGCCCATCTGCCAAGGCCCTTTAGGGGCCCTATGACTGCATTTCCCTCATCTTCAAAAGAAAAAGAAATTCTGTTCTGCACTCCAAACAATCTCTGGCCCCAGTTCCCAAGGTACTGGACACTGCTTATCCTCTCGGCAGCAACACAAAATCACATTCTCCACGTGGATGACCAGAAATCACAACTGACAACCTTCAGCTTTTTGCAGAGAGGCCACGTGCAGCTCCTGCGCCTCTTGTTCCAGGCCAGGGAACACATGCCATCCTTGCAGCCTTTTGCTCGCCGCTTCCTAAACCGTCAGCATGCTTCTGGACCTCGAGCACGCAGCCGAGAGCTACCGTGTGAAGGAAGGCGTGAGCACACCCCTGCTCTGACCAGATACTCCTCTGCCTTGCCACTACCCTGCACAGCTCCATACGTGCATGCTGTGTCCCCAGCAAAAACCTGCGAGCCACTTCCAGGACAAAGGCTGCAACACTGCACCAAACGGGCATGGACATGGAGTAATTTCCAGTACCACACCAGCGCCTCTTGGCCTGGTCAGCAGGGCACTTGCTGCACAGACATGTTTGGCTTGACATCAGACAGAAGCAAGCAGGGACAAAAAAAGGTTTAGGGTAAATCACACTTGGCAAACATCCAGGTCCTTGTGGGAAGACCCCAGGATCAGCAGCTGCGTGGCCAGCCATCCTGCGAGGCAGCCCTGTCCAGCACTCAAAGCTGGGAATCAGCTAGAGCACAACCCAGGGCTGTGCAAGCATTTCCTAGGAGGGAGCCCAGGGGACCTGTGGGGTAGGGCAGGCTGCTCTCACAGGGCGGTGTGGACGACCGTACTCTTAGGCCCCCCACTATCCAAACTGCTGTTGCAGGGAGGCATCGCGCTGGCTGACCACCAGCTCCAGGAAGGCTGCAGCGCTGCTACAGGGGCGCAGGCAGAGTATGGGGGAGCCAGAGGGTCGGGCACAGCCCTGATGGGGTGCTCCCAACAGCAGGCAGCAGCAAGCCCCAGTCCGGGAGCCAGTCACTGCAACGCTCTCGGGGCTCCGCTTCCGCCGCTGCTGTGGCAGGAAAGGCAGCAGTGGTTGGGCCAAGAGGAAACGCTCCTCAGCAATCACCCGGCCCCCACCAGGCCTGTGGAGGGGGCGAGGGCAGGATCCATGCTGGGGGAGAAGAGCCCAACTTGAATTCTGTAGCTACAACCAAGAATCACCAAGGGCATACTGAGCAGTCCCGTAACCCGCCCGGCGGCTGGCACGGCGGGAGCTATCAGAGGGGACCGGGATCCCTGGTCCTCTGGTCAGGCACTCTGACAGCCTGACACCACTTACGTGCACCTCGGGGGCTCCCTCCCCGCGCTGTCAGGCCTTCCTGGCCCCCCTCAGGCAGGGGTCGTCCCC